GCTGTGCATGCCGACGAGCTGAGCTCTGACGACAGCGAGGGAGAAGGAAAATCGGGGTTGGCCGAAGAAGAAACCATAGGTCCGGGTCAACCGGTTGAACTTCCCTTAAACTCTGTGGTAGGTCTTATAGCTCCGGGCACTATAAAGTTGATGGGAAGACTGGGCCCAAGGGATGTAGTGGCTCTAGTGGATAGTGGAGCATCACAAAATTTTATTTCAGCGGATTTGGTCCAACAGTTAGGTTTCCCCTTATCTAGTACAACAAGCTACGGAGTGGTAATGGGCACAGGCTTAATAGTAAAGGGGGAAGGAATTTGTCGATGGGTGCCTTTGAAGCTGCCGGGGTTGTTAGTGGAGGAATACTTTTTACCGTTAGAATTGGGCAGCTCAAATGTTATCCTAAGAGTACAATGGCTCAGGTCATTAGGCAAACTGCAAGTGGATTGGAAGGCCTTAACTATGTCTTTTGACGTTGGAGGAGCTAAAGTGACCCTGCAGGGGGACCCAAGCCTCAGCAAGATCCTCGTATCGTTGAAGTCAATGTGGAAAGCTTTTAAGGAGCAAGGGGAGGCCTCCTATTGGAATTAGGGAATATCATCATCAATCCCAGCTGTCTCAGACCTTCCGTAGGGAATCATTACAGAAGTTCTGGAGGAGGTGAAATTAGTCTTCGAATCCCCTACATAGTTGCCACCGAAAAGAAATCAGGATCATGCAATCACTTTGAAGACAATGGCAGAACCGGTCAGTGTGAGACCATACCGTTATCCCTACTTCCGAAAGAACGAGCAGTTGGTTAAGGAAATGTTGGCTGCCAAAATTATCCAACATAGCACCAGCCTTTTGCAAGCCCTGTATTGCTAGTAAGGAAGAATGATGGAAGTTGGCGATTTTGCGTGGACTATCGGGCTTTAAACAAGTTCATTGTGCCCGACAAGTTCCCAATTCCAGTAATCGATGAGTTATTGGACGAGCTGAATGGGGCCACGGTATTCTTGAAAATCGACCTTAAGTTGGGGTATCACCATATTCGGGTAAGGGCTGAAGATGTGCTGAAGACCGCCTTTCGAACTCACGAGGGACATTATGAGTTCCTAGTCATGCCCTTTGGCTTGACTAATGCACCAGCTACTTTTCAATCGGTTATGAAATCCATCTTCAGAGAGCAGCTCCGGAAAAATGTGTTGTGTTTTTAACGACATTTTGGTTTATAGTCGCATGGAGATGGAGCATCTGGATCATTTGCGAACGGTCTTGTGGATCTTAATGGAAAACCAATTCATTGCAAATAAGAAGAAATGCTCATTTGGACAAACAGAGATAGAGTACCTGGGTCACATAATCTCAGAAAAGGGGGTAGTGGCAGATGAATCAAAGTTGTCGGGTATGCGAGATTGGCCACGTCCCCAGTCATTAAAAGAGTTGCAGGGATTCTTGGGGTTAACGGGATATTACTGGCAATTTGTGGAAGTTTATGGAAAGATAGCTTGGCCTCTAACCCAACAGTTGAAGAAAGATAGCTTCCGGTGGAATGA